GCTTGCGGCGAGCAAGGATTGCTGGATCACCCAAGTCTGCGTGTTATGCGATGGAGAAAAGGAGCTCTCTCGGCAAGCAACTTGGTCTCAAGCTTTCCATCAAGAAATGAGTAGCGAGACTGCCTCTTCTAGTCCACAATTGAAAGCTGTGGTGCCTGCCTAGAGGTCCAGAGTGAAAGAAGAAGTGTAGACGAATGAAACGATGAAACATCTGAACGAGACGAAAGACTAACTGGACCGGGTGAGAAAAACCTTGATCAGAACTGAAGAAAATAGAGATATGGGGAGGAAAATAATTAAGGATTGCAACAAGAAACATGGAGAGGAGATATAACGCTTGAGGCAGGAATGTAAGGAGCGATTGGAACGACTATAATTAGCAAAAAAATGGAATGATCATTACCCGCGGGGAGTGTTCCTCGTTGGCAGTCACCAATGGAGCTTCTGGCGCGAATTAATTCAGGCAACAGAATTGCAAGTCACAACAGCACCACGTAGATTGACGATCCCGAATTCAAGTGACAACGTTGGTGATCCAGTCGAGGAAAGAACCATGCAGCAGCTGGTGGAAGCCGCTGGCCGACTTGTGGCCATTAGGAGTGTGCCATTATCCGGAGTGACTGAACCCTATAGAACAATCGATGATACCAGCAGAGTAGGCTCTCCTCAGATGTAGTGAAGAAAAAAGGAGCTGCTACGGTAGCGAAGTTGGCAAAAACCTCAAAAACCTCCGACAAGAAGATAGGGAAGATGCCAATGAAGAAAGTGTCGCGCGTATATGACATACAGAAGAACAATCAGATTAAGAACAGCTTCACGGGAGTCCCAGATACGGACATGCGAGCACGTTTCAATCAATCAACTTGGAGTCCAGCGATGAACATGCAGCAAACGCCCCTTGGAACGTCGCATTTGATATTGGGCGATAGTTTAGTGAGATTTTTTTTCGAAACTTGAGGACCTCGTAGATCATTACGCTGATGGCATTCGGAGGTGCCACAGTAGCCCAGCTGTATCGGATGCTGGGGTTGATGAACCCAGGCAGGATTGTGGACATAATTATTCTAATAGCCACAAACAAGGTGTCCAGAAGCTCAGACCAGAAGAAGCCCAAAGGGAGGCAATGCTAGTGTGCTTGTTTACCACAGTGTGGCAAAAGTTTCATTTTGCGGTACTGACAGTTTGCACCATACCGATGAGCATGAGATTGCAATCATCCACCAATAGAAGGCACAATGAAAGAGTCATACGTGCGTACAGCATAGTGCGTAATCTGGCAAGTCGCAATTCTGGACGAAAGATCTTAATGGACTTAAATGCTAAGGGCTCTGGGTCAAGCCAGATTCACTTCTGATGGAATACACTTCGACAGTATAGAAGGACAAGACTGGATAAATTGTGTCTTCCAGGAGCAAAAAAATCAGTTAGAAGCTGAACTCTTTGACACTGGAGCACTCAGAACGGAAGAAGCGACGAAAGTACCGGCGATTTCGATCTTTGCGCCTCCTAATCAAGAGAGGCGCTTGAGATCAGTCCCGGGCGTGCCACAAGTGATGCAGAGGTCGAGTGATTAGAAACCGAGGTCAGGCCAATCGGATCGACTGGGTGAAGCACCAGTGAGGAGGAACATTCATCCCCGACGAAGATTGGGACCACTCAATCAAACGACGATTGCGACCTCAGGCACCTCCAGATCTGAAACGACGATGAGTACGAGCAGGGAAGATTGACGTCTAGACCGTAATTCCCTGATGTTGTCAAGACCAATACCCTCCCCCTGGCATGTTTACAAGCAAGATTTAAAGAAGCTGTACCTTCGATCAGTAAGATTTCTAGCTGATGCGATGAGAATGCTGAATGGCGCGAGACTGTCAGTAGGTGGGCTGCACTCGATTGCTGTTTGATAGCAGCAGGGATCAACTTCAGCTCTACAACAGCATTGCGGTTTGCTTATCTTGAGGGACTGCCCTCAAACAACACCATGGGTCCCGTGAATACCAGCCCTTTGCAAGATATAAGGATAAATCATAGTGAGCAGACTAGAGAAGAGAGACCAGGGAGATTCTTTAAAAGTAGATTACCAACGGGGCAATGTGTGGAGATGTTTAAGCAAGTGTGTGAAAGAAAGAGCCTATCCGAAACATGTAGCCCATGAAGGTGATGCTCAAAGATACGGTGAACTGAATTTCCGAATAGACGCGATCATCATCACCGCAGAGATGAGGAGGGCGGCGACAAAGCAGAGATGAGGAAGGCGACGATACTTGTAACTGATAGCTCAGACTTCGTGCGTACCTCTAAGTCCTTGTTTGGATCCGATGTAATAATAGAATATTTTAATCAAACTTAAACAACTGAAATACACAATAATTTACGTAACCATAAATAACACTTTCCTGTAAACTTCTCAAATTTTTTTAGTTTTTGTTCTATCCTTGGTATAAAGTTTCAATTTAGAAATATTTTCCCAAATCTGAAATGTCAGTTTTTTTGAATTTTAGCCATGTTATAAATGGACTATAATTTCAGTGTTGATTCCCGGCTCCTGAATTCATCGCGTGTGTTGATTATCTGCCTTTCCCTCTAAATATGCAAAATCTCTAGTGTGAGTAGCTTCTGAGTGTTGGATCTTTGGTGTATAATCTCTGACTTCAGCTCAGCAGTACCGCCTACCTCCTTATTAGATTCTAACACGTGGCTGCCCTACTGGGGAGTCTCTTTGCAGTGTTCATCGACCCTCGTGGCTAAATGTCGGACTGTCTGGCCGACATAGGTGGAGTTACATCCACTACATGTGAGCTCTGGATCTCAGTTCACGAGCAAAAGAGGGTTTGAGGGATGGCAAGCATGTTTTCACTATTTTTGTGGTAAAAAGTTTTCGTGCCCCGGGTATTTGCCGAACCTTTGGAGCAAACAATTGAGATGGATTGCCTCGATATTTCATTTTAAAAATTAGGCTGATTCTTTCGACCATCTATCATTTCTCAGTTCTGATGCCGTCACCTCCAAAATTTTTTCCACCTCAATAATCTTGTTAAGAGCTTCAAACACTACCCTGTCCGGCCAATTTTTCGGATATTTATTTTGAATCCATTGTTTTTGATTTTTTTTTCCAAGGAACGGTCAAAGTTTTCCCTTGTTCAGGTACTTCTGAAAATTCTATGAATCGTCCCTTCAAAAGCGCTTCTTTTTTATTGCAAAGGTGCGCAACCTCTAAAATTTAGAATGGTGCCGGTATCAGTGGATTTTTAGTACCACCCTCAGGCGACTTTTTTTTCCTGAGTCCACGTTGACATTTAAATCCAAAAAAGTCAAATTACCATTACTATCAAGTTCTTCTATGGTGAACTGCAAGTTTGGAAGCGATTTATTGGCAGCTTCGAAGACTACCCCAGGATCACCCTTGACATTTCTAATTATGTCGTCCACATATCTTAGAAAAACTTTAACATCATTCTCAGTCCGATCTGCTTCTTGTTGTTTGTTGCAGGTCATGCAAAACCATACTGTTTCAGCGATGTCTGCGTATTCTGATTCCGATATGTTTCCTAAATGGTACCAACTCAAACAAGCTTTGCATTCTACCCCTTTAGTTCTATATGTCACCTCTTTCTGACATCCTGTGCCGACTTCCTTGTTATCCTCATTTAGCACAGTCAAGTTTGGTACTTCTTTCATTAATGCAGTTTCGTAATCTTTGAGCCACAAATTTGTCAGTGCTACTGCAAGGGAGGCGCCCATTGCTGAACTGTGTTTTTGTACATATTACAAACCACTGCATTTAAAGTGTACTTTACTCACTGACAAATTTAGTAGTTTTTTCATAGTTTTGCGAGATATTTCCGGAGGATTGATTTGCTCATATAATCTCATCAGGGCTATTTCAACAGCTTCCTTGAGCGAGATATTTGTGTATAAAAAAATAAGAACTTGATAGTATTGGTAATTTGGTCTTTTCGAATTTAACTGTCAACGTGGACTCAGGAAAAAAGTTATTGAAGGGACGGTCTATAGGGTTTTGAGAAGTACCTCAACATGGGAAACTTTTGACCGGGCATTGGAAAAAAAATCGGAAACAATGGATTGAGAATCATTATCCGATGAATTGGTCTGACAGGTAAGTGTTTAAAACTCTTAAAAGATTCTTGAGTGAAAGATAGTCTTAGAGGTAGCGGCATCAGAACCGAGAAATGATAAATTGTTCAAGGAATCACCCTCCTTTTTTTACAATGCAATATCCAGGCAATCCACCTCAACTGTTAGCTGCAAAAGTGAGGCAAACATCCGGGGCACAAGTAATTTTTACAACAAGAAAAATGAAAACATGCTTGCCATCCCTCAAAACTTCCTCTGCTCATGAACTGAGATCCAAAGTGGAGTATAAGCTTACATGTAGTGGATGTAACTCCACGTATGTAGGCCAGACAGTCCGACATTTAGCCACGAGGGTCGATGAACACCGCAAAGGGGACTCCCCAGTAGGGCAACCACTTGATAGAATCTTATAAGGAGGTAGGCGGTACTGCTGAGCTGAAGTCAGAGATTACACACCAAAGAGCCAACACTCAGAAGCTACTCGCACTAGAGGTTTTGCATATTTGGAGGAAGAGGCCGAGAATCAACACACGCGATGAATTCAGGAGCCGGGAATTAACATTGAAATTATAGTCCATGTAGTCCGTAATTACAGTTTTTTAAATTTGATCGGTCAAAAAAAACTTTAGAGCATTTAACATGATTCTCAATTTTCAGATCTTTGATCGTTTCGTAAATACTGTAAAGAAACTTTTAATCCTGATGATGCACAAAATGTGCGAAAACGTTTGAATTAACGTTTTAAAATTCTTATATTAGTGTATAAACTGTTTACATCTAGGGAGATTATACTCTCATCAGAGTCCAATTCTGTTTGCTCCAAGTTCTCCCTGGCCATATGAGTGTTCGTTTCTATGTTTGCCCCCTCAGTTTTATCAAAGTATTTTGCCAATGTTTCAATTTAGCCTAATTGTTGTGATAAACTTATTAAATAGATTTGTTATGTTTGATGTTTGTGCCTGTATGTGGAGCGCCCTCTGAGGGATTTTAGAGACAGGTCTGTCAAGTGGCTTTCTGAGGGGAGGTGGGAAACTGGAACTGGCTTGAGGAGTCTGGTGGTGCGCCGCTGGATCTACTGAGCTCGGGTGAGATTGTTCCTTGTTTTTGATTTTTATAATTCGATTTTAAAATTTAAATTAATTTAGTTTTATTTTATTTGCTGATTTGTAAAATTCCCACTAACCGCTTATCATGAGTTAGTTCAGTCCCCTAAAGTCCAGTCAAAATCTTTTTTTTTACCTTTATGCTGCGTCAAGATGAGGAAAAACAACAAAGAGTGTACAAGCAAAGATTGCTTAAAACCTTCAGGACTGATAAATTGGATTAGATGTGATTGTTGTTCTAGTTGGTATCATATCAGTTGTGTAAATATTTCTCTTAGCGACTCTAAGAAAACCCAATGGTTTCAGTGTCCTTTATGCGTTGATGTAAAATCTGTTAATAAAGCAACAATAGGTAATGATTTAGTGCCAGACAATTATGTTAATACAGCCATCTCAAATGTCCGAGTACTCAAGAGAGTACCAAAAGACTCGCGTGTTCCCTTGGCGGAAAGTCTGTCGGACAAAATAAATGACATCGTACACGATGTAGAAGATGTTCAAAATGGCTATTTTTTTTAACGTCGTTCTTGTTTTTTTTGGAGCAACCGAAAAGAAGTGGACGCAAACAGTCCACAAGCATGAGTTCTTTGATAAATGAAAAAATTCGAGCAAATGACGTGTCACTTCCAAAACCCCATCCCCAAGTTTCAAGCCCGCCTCTGAGTGACCTCGAGCAGAGAATAAAGTTAATAAGTAGTAAGCTCGATGAAGGAAATGTAAAGGGAGGAATAAGGCTTGCTGCTTTGGATGACAAAATAGCTCTTTTTTCAACTGTTAACTATCAAAAATTGTTGTCTAAGCACCCGCAGCGAGCCAAATTTGCAGCTCCAAATCCAGGAAAGTTGGATAGTTTTTTCGTAACCGATTTCGACCTATACAAAGCGATAATGTCCTTTGCAAACGGAGCAGCAGCAGGTCCTGATAAAATAGTTCCTCAAATTTTCAAAGATCTTGTTAGTAAGTCGAATGGCAGTGCAGAACTTAATTTTCTGAAATCGCTTACTAAGCTGATAAACCTCATTGGAGATGTCAAAATACCCGAACTACTAAGACCTTTCTTTTTTGGCGCAAAGCTTATCGCCCTCATAAAGATAGACGGAGGGTTGAGACCGATTGCCATAGGCAACACGCTGGCTGAGACGTATCGCGTCTAAATGCGCTGGAAGCAAGACACTCTCAGAGCGAAATTTTTTTTTCGGAAACGTACAGGTAGGATGCGGTAACAAAAGAGGAGCAGAAATAGCTGCGCACTCGTTTCGAAACCTAATTGAACGCGACGACAATCCAAAATGCTCTGTTCTTTTAAAACTAGATTTTAAGAATGCCTTTAACTCTTTAAGCAGAGAAACAATGCTGAATCATGTTTATTCAAATCGCCCCGTATGGTATTGCCCCCATTGCGCGTATAGTAAATCTAGTTACCTTTTTTACGGAAGCTCTGTCATAATGTCAGAAGACGGAACTCAGCAAGGTGATCCTGAAGCCCCACCCCTTTTTGCGGAAACAATTCATACACTAGTCAAACCATTGGAGTCGAAAAATAACATTTGGTATTTTGATGATGAGAATTTAGCTGACGACTATACGGTGGTACTCCGGGACCTTAAAAACATTCTGAAATCGGAACAAATTTACGGCCTGAGCTTAAACACTGAGAAGTGTGAACTTTGTTTTTTGGGACCGACTACTAGTACACAGTATAATTCAATTTTAATACAATTTCGAAAAATATGCCCCAAAATAAAAATAAAAACAAAAGAATAACTCCTCATTTTAGGATCTCCAATCGGCAAAATTGCCGAAATTGCTCGACGAAAAAATTAAGGAGCTTGAAAAAATCTCGGATGTCATTGACAAAATAGACGCCCATTATGGTTTTACCTCCTGAAAAATTGCTTTAGCATGCCATAACTCCCATATTTTTTGCGTACGAGCCCTTGTTTTTTGCAAAATGATTTTTTGGAACGCTACGATAATTACTAAGAAATTCGTTATGCAAAGTCACCATGAAAATGGATGATAACCAGTTTTTACAAGCAATTCTCCCAGCAGCCAAAGGTGGTTTGGGCGTTTTTTCCGCTCGTCTACTCGCTTTACCCGCTTTCTTAGCCTCAGCAGTGGGAGCAAAAGATGCCTTGAGCGAAATCTTTGGTTTGGAGCATGTGGATGGAACCTATGATGATGCGCTTAAGCGGTGGTTTGATCTTGGAAAAAGTGAAATGGCTCCGAAAAATGAAATCCAAAAAAATTGGACGGAGCCAATTTCTGACAGCGAAACTGGAGACTGATTTTACGACTCGAACCAACGGACGTAAAAAGGTTCAACGCGTTCCAAGATAGATTTGGCTCCCAATGATTGAACGTCATCCCGTGCAAAAATTTAAGATTAAAACTGTCGAACGAACAACTCAGAATTGCGATAGGACTTCGATTAGGATCAAAAATATGCGAACGGCATAAATGCGTGTGCGGAAAAGACGTTACCGAGGATGGTTGGCATGGTCTTTCTTGCCTCAAAAGTGCAGGGAGAATCTCTAGGCATTCAAACCTGAATGCCCTTATAAAGCAGAGTCTACCATCTACTCACATTTCGTCTGTTTTAGAACCACGACACCTCTACAGGACCGATCAGAAGCGACCAGACGGTTTGACGCTCGTTCCATGGGCTGATGGTTAGCAGCTCTTGTGGGATGTAACGGTAGTAGACTCCTTAGCTCCTTGTAGGATTAATGCCGGGTCTGTTTGTAACCCTGGTACGGCTGCCGCTGAAGCGGAAGAGCGAAAAATTGACGAGTATAAAGATCTTGTAGATGATGGATATCTTTTTCAACCGCTAGCTTTTGAAATTCAGGGCGCGGCCGGCCCCAGCACAGTAGTTTTTTTGAGCAAGCTTTGTAAGAACCTAAGCATATGCTAAGAATTTTTTAAAATTGTTAATTCAAACGTTTTCGCACATTTTGTGCATCGTCAGGATATAAAGTTTTTTATTTACAATAAAATGATCAAAGATCATGTATGAAATTCAAAAAGAACATGTTAGAAATTTTTAACCAATCACATTCTTACATCTGTTATTACGTAATCATTATTTCATCGATTATGACAATTTCCATACTTTTTTGTTACTTGAGTCATAATTTTTCGATTTGATGTTTTATCCAAACTGACATGTCAGTTTATTTTTTCAAAAATTGCAATTTTAGTCATGTTTAAACATGTACTATAATTTTAATGTCAGCTCCCTGCTCCTGAACTCCTCGCGCGTGTTAATTCTGGGGCGTTCTTTCCAAATATGTAAGGCCTCCAGAGTGAGGAGTTTCTGTATGTTACTTGATTGATCTATAATCTCAGTCTTAAGCTCAGCGCTCTTACCATCCCTGTCACATTCTCTCAAATATTGCCCTACTGGCGACTATGAGGCTCAGAGACATTGGATGGAACTGTCTGTCAATCTTCCCTTCTCTGAAATTTATAAGAGCGGGTCTCAAAACAACTTGTCTTATTGGGGCGTTGATTATCCTCCTCTGACGGTTTACCACAGCTTTATCTTGGGAAAAGTGAAGCAGAATTTTTTTGGGCTAAGCATATGCACTGAGGAACCCAGAGCAGGCAGCTTTCTAAAACAGAGAATCTCCCTGGCAATACAGATTGCGAACGCCGCTTGCGTACTGGGAACAATAAATGACAAAATAACTTTCGACGAAATTTTTTACTTGTAACACTTGTATATTATATTATCTCGTGTCGAGTTGCGCGTTCTCATTGAAGAAACGTAACCCGTATCGATTTTAATTGAAAATGACTTAAACACTTGTCATCTTCTTTTATCATTCTCACTTCCATATCTAAAAAATTCCAAGGATTTTGACTGGAATACATGATGAAGGGACTCATGACTGTAACCTCGGTTACTATGATACTTTTGACCTTCTGATTACCCAGTGAAATAAAAAAAATGTTTTAATCTATGATTATTAATGAATAAAGTCTTTCTGTTACTTTTTTTGGGCTTAATAACTGGATTCAGTGTTCTTCTCCTTTGCACTGAATCGGTGTTACTTCGCAGTTAATAGCTGGAAAGGAAAAAGAAGGTCTGGTCATCAGAGGCGAAGGCGTAATCAGGCAGTCGGTACATAACCTGCTTGACATCAATTTCAGAGAGAATGCTTCATTCAGTTGATTATGGAATTGGAGCTGAAGAGTTAGCCGTTGCAACGCTTGCGTTACTAATTTCTTGTATCCTTTCGTGCTCAAATTATTCTGGACTCAATAATCCGCCTCAGTTTGGCGACTATGAGGCTCAGAGACATTGGATGGAACTGTCTGTCAATCTTCCCTTCTCTGAAATTTATAAGAGCGGGTCTCAAAACAACTTGTCTTATTGGGGCGTTGATTATCCTCCTCTGACGGTTTACCACAGCTTTATCTTGGGAAAAGTGAAGCAGAATATAAATGCAGATTGGGTCGAATTGCAGCAATCAGTTGGCTACCAAAGTTACGGTCATAAGTTTTTCATGCGGTCCTCGGTGATTATTTGTTGGTTTTTCATCTATCTTCCGGCAAGTTTTCTCTTTTCGTCAAAGTTAAAAAATAAAGCTTTCGTAAACGGTTTGCTTTTGCTTAACCCTGGACTTCTTTTAATTGACAATGCTCATTTTCAATATAATGCTGTAAGTCTTGGGTTCTTTATTCTCTGTGTCAACTTTTTAATAGTTAATAAAGTAGTATTTGGTTCGATTTGTTTTTGTTTGGCTCTCAATTATAAACAAATGGAATTGTACCATTCGCTCCCCATTTTTTGTTATTTGTTATCTTTTTGCTGTGAAAGAAGTGTTAAGCATTTTTTCATCCAGTTTACTAAACTTTCATCAACTGTCTTGATATCGTTTGCTTTGTTATGGCTGCCTTATCTAGAAAGTAAAGAGTCAGTGCAACAGGTAATTAACCGTTTGTTTCCTCTCAATCGAGGACTCTTTGAAGACAAAGTTGCTAATTTATGGTGTACTCTAAACAACGTTGTTAAAATAAGGTTAATCTTTGATCGGTCACATCTAACCATTCTGAGCGCATTGGTTACCCTGTTTGCCAGTCTTCCTTCGTGCTTACTTGTGTTCAAAAAGCGGAGTTTGGAAAACTTTTTTCTCAGTCTAGCTTCAACATCTTTGTCGTTTTACTTATTCTCTTATCAAGTGCACGAAAAATCGATTCTTTTATTTTGCATTCCTTTGATCTTTCTCTCTAACCAGTTGAATGGAAATATTCTCATACATTATTTATCAATTTGCTCGCTGAGCATGTGTCATCTATATGCGAAAGACGAGTTTCTCCTAGCCGGAATAACTTACACTGTATTGTTCTCAGTAATGTTTCATTATTTCCAGTCTTCAATCAAAACTCATAGATCTAGAGCAGAACACAAGTCATTCATAATAGTGTCGTGGTCAGGATTTCTGGCAATCGTATCTCTGATAGCCTTTGCACCACCTCCTAGGAAATTGCCCGATATCTATGTGGTGCTTTTATGTGGTTTTTCATTCCTGCATTTCTTTATTTTTTATTTGTCTACTTTGGTAATGGTCGTGCAGCGTTTCAAATTTGGTATCAAGAGAGTTAATAAAACTAATTAACTTGTTAAATCAAATTACAGCATATTGAAATCTATATTAGAACTAAACAAGTTAAAGATGAGTGATTCCATAATTTTAATGACTGATCTATAATTTTGAATCAATGATTTTGCGTGCTGTTTTGAGATATATATGTCATCTGAACAACAAAATGTGAGTGCAGATGCTGTTCAACAGCACCCAATTCAAACTACAAAGCCGACGGGACCCAACAGGCCTAATGAACCCGAAATTTTGGAGGTTGAAAAAATTCTTGATAAACTACAATATGAAGATGGAAGGGTATACTACTTGCTAAGATGGAAAGGGTTTGACGCAAGTGAGGATACTTGGGAACCCCCCACCAATCTAGACTGCCCTGACTTGATTGCCGAGTTCGAGCGGAACTTTCGAGAAACGAATAGACTAGCAAAACGGCCAGGAGGAAAGAAACCGAAAAAGTTAGCATTGATTTCACCCCTTCCGTCAGTATATTTTCAAAACAAATCATTCATCCTGCATTCCTTCTGTTTATTAAGGAAATAGAAGTTTTTGTTCAGTTTTTATTTTTTCTTTCGTTTGTTATCGAACAAATCGTGGAGTTTAAGTTTTGAATGCAGAGCCTTGCCCGGCCACGTTCCTGTAACGATGCCTGTTAATTCTGTCAAGGGCTATTCAATACGCTAGTTCGGTATTTACACAACGAAGCCTAGTGTCATCTTACGATGTCCCTTATCAACATAAGTCGCGAATAAAAGTGCTCATGAATGCTGTTGGTGTTTAGAATGTATTCAATAACTTTTCACGCTTGCGTTATCAAACTGGAATATACTTTTTTTCGAATTAACAATTTGTTTAACAGAAACACTTGTATCCTGGCTCATAATGAATTCTAACTCCTATGCGCTCCCGGCCAAGTTAGCCTCGAGGTAACGAATACGCCTGGGACGGCTAAGGTGGGAGGTTCGAATCTGACCAGGACCTTTTTTTCGAATAGGAAATATTCTGTTTCAAATAAAATTATCGGCAAATTGTTTGTCTGCTTATCTGTTTTCGGCTTAGTTGTCACATCTTGGAATCGTTTTTTTTTGCTGAGCACATGTTTTTCTATTGTTGATTTAAGTGTTTAAGAGTAATGAACGTAGTGAAGACTCTTGTACAGGTCTTCCTGATTTTTTTTTCAGGAAAAAGCCTTAAAATATTGATGCACTCAGGTATAATGCACTCTATGGGTTCAATTGAAATTCATCTGCTGAAAGTGACGTAAATAGCACTCTCCAAATATGAAAGTTGAAATATTCTGAAAAAACGTGAACGATTTCTAGTTTCAAAAGTGGAATGGATTTTTAAGATTTCCCAGCGGAATAAAAACTTTACCTATTGATCCAGTTTTCGCAAGATGGGTTTATGTTATCAAAAAAGCCCCAATCATAAATTGTTCTAGAAATTCAGAGAGTCTAAAGGTCATCTATTTTTTTCTTTGAGAATTTTTGAAGAAATTCAGTGTTTTTTAAATGTTTACTTGCGTTCATTAATCTTTTCCAATCTTCGATTGGCTATGTTTGATTTACTCCTACAATTTGCAATTTTATTTATCTTGACTTTCTCTTTATTGTATTTCTTTCTGTTTTGTTTCGTTTGAAAACTTTCCTCGGCCCAAATAATTTTGGCCTATTTTTATCGGTTCATTGACCTAATTTTGGTTCGTTTCAAGGAAAACGCAATTTTAACACTCCCCTCTGCACTTTTAAAGTTTTTTGAAATTTCGGTTTGTTGAAATTTCTTTTTTTCATTATGGTAAATGATTTCTGAATTTATTGGAAAATTTTTAGTTTTTCTCAGAAACTTCTACTCAAAAAAAGGGGAATCAATTGAAAGACTGCGTGTGCCTGTATAATCCCCTATAGTCTCTTCTTAATTTACCCCTGTCTACAGCCTTCGAAAAGGTCTGTGGAGGATTTTTGACCCATATTTTTTTTTTGCTTTTTGTCGTTTTCTCAAAAACTGCCCCTCTCAAATCTGATTTCATTGAATAGAAAGGTTTTGAAACGTTTTCACACAAACAGCTATGCTTCTCGGAAATGCCAAATTTTTCATTTTTTGACCGTGATTTAGGTTTTTCGCGCTAACTATCCTGCCAAACCTGATATCATAGGTTTAATGGAAACAACTGGTTGGTGAAAGCGTACCGTTATTAAATGGTTGTACCGAGTTTGTTAAAGAAAAAAGGTTTGGCCTTCAAACAAGTCGAAGTTTTGAAACACTGACAGTTTTTCAAAATTGTTTGACTTCACGCGAAAACTACCGTGACACTTCTCAGGTTGTTTCCAATCAGAAAACCTAGTTTTGGGAATCTTCTCTGCTTAAGCGACCACAACCTGCTTTTGCAGAAAAAGTTATGGATTTTGGAAATTCTTTTGACTGTTTTTTAGAACTTTTGACCGTTATTAGAAAGTTTTTGAATTTTCTTAAAATTTACTCAATCAAATTTGAGATTAAAAGTTCAATTGAAACAACCAGTTGCGATAATGGCGCCTGCAGAAGCGGCGACTCCTATTTTTTGCCAGATAAATGTTATCATCTTGAGAAAATTGAATATCTCAAGTTTTTTACTCTTTTCACTTACTTTTAGTAGAGAAACAACAACAGTATAATAGATTCATTCAATATCAAACACATACCTCCAGCTTTAGCTGGGCCTCTGGTGGTTTTTTATCTAGACTTGAGAAAATTTTGGTTCACCTAGTTTTTTTCGTCATTTGAATTTTTTTTCGACCTATGTTTTTTTTATGTTTGTGTTGTATCGCAAGTGATTCGGAGTCCCGTTTCACCTCGGTGTAAATAGCATGTTTTCAATTTCGGTTAGTTAGTGAGAACTTCCGCTTTAATTACGGGTTTTATGAAAATGTATGGGATTTGTTTATTTGGGACTATTAGGAAAATTTTAAATGCGTCTCGAAAACTACTTCAACAATATATATTTTTTAATGCTGCCAGTGGGAGACCGGCTACGCTACTGTGTGTCTGTATGTTGCGCTAATCTTTTAACCTAACCTCACGTTCTACGGCTTTCGAAAATTTCAGCGTTTAAAATTTTTTGTTTTTCTGAAAAATTGCCCGGCCAAATGTGAGATTAAAAATTAAAAAGAGCATGCATGGTGATCTCCCCTGTATAAACCGTAATGCCCTAGTATTTAAAGAAAAAATTGGTTTTGATTGTTTTTGATTTTTTTTCTCAAGAACTACTGTCAAATCTGAGATTGAGAGTTCAATCATTAAAACAAATAGTAGCAACTTTCCCTGCATAATTTGCGATGCCCTTATTTTCGTAGAACAAAGTAATGGTCTTAAAAGGTTTTTTTCCGACGACTTTCACAGTTTTTGTGAAAGATTGTCTTGCTCGAAAAATATCCTTCTAAATTTGAGGTTAAGGGTTTAATAGCAAGAACTTCAAATTTAGAAGGGTTTAATAGCAAGAGGTTCAGGGTTTAACATTTTGAGGAGCTGCCCTCACTTAGGGCTATTCTCTGTTTTAGTAGAGAAAGCGTAGGGCATTTGAGAAACTTCATGTTTGATATTTTTTGACAGTTTTTTCGGAAACCTTATTTTTCTCGAAAACTACTCAACTAAATCTGAGATTAAGAATTCAATTAGTAGAACAATTAGTAGTAATCTCCCCTGATAAGCGGCAATTTCTTTTTTAATCAGAAAAAACACCATGGTTTTGTGTAAAGTCCATATTTTGACATGTTGAAAATTACGCATTATCATCCTAAAACATATTCTAAAGAAAGTTCAAACAGTTACCTCCAGTATCAGTTGGGCCACTAGTGTTTGACTATCTAAGAGAACGTGGCGCAGTTAGGAGGAAGTAATCCTCCCCTTCTCTAGGCCCGTGATTCGAAGCCTGCGCATGGAAAGTTTTTGCTTTATCTATCTTCTTTTTGCTTTATCTATCCCTTTTGTTTTTTTGCCTTTTTAAAGTCGTGAAGTACTGCTTCGCCTCTGTGTAGATTGTTTTTTAAGCTGTTCAAAACCGACCCAAGTTCTTCAACAAGCAAATACTATAGATTGTTTTTAGTCTGTTTTGAGTGACATATATTCTTGAGAATTGTATGAACTGTTCTTATTTTTTTCCAAACCCGTTTTTTTCTAGGAGAGCAAAAATGGAGCACTATAGCTTTAAATATCCTAATTTATGGTTTTCTTTAATTGCAATTGTTGCTACAATTGCAGTTGATTTGATGTGTCGCTCAAAATTTGGTCCTTCCTATAGCTGAATGTGTCAAATGAGTTTGTATGAATGGAAAATGTGTTTGAAATTAAGTCATTGCTACGTGTTAAGTGAAAATGTCGATTTTTATTTATAGTTCAAGTGCATAATTACGCTTGCGATTAGCGAGCGTTATCAAATCGGAATGAAGACTTTTTCAGGTTGAAAAAGTTTATAAAAATCGCTTCGAAATATTTGGTCAGTATCTTGGTTTCTGAGTATGTTTTGAGCAAGTTTCTTTGTAAACACATTTCCTATTCGATTTTTTTTTTCATTTTATTTGTGCTTACTTGGTATGACAGGTTTTGGCTTATAATCTATCGGTTTGATTGCCGTATCTTGCGTTGTTTGGTGGCAAATATTGCCCCAGTTGTTTGTTTTCAGGTAAAAAATCAGCTCAATTAGTGTCTGCTCAGCTATTTCGGCTTAGTTACTGCTGTTGATAATTATTTTTGATAATAATTAGACACTAGCGGGTGTCCTAGTTGAATGTTTTCCCACTGTATTAAGCTAATTCTAGTCAAGACAATTGTTAGAAAAAAAATTTCGGTTTAGCGGATTTTGTCTTTTTTGCATTAGCTAGTTGATTATGATTTATTCAATTTTTTTATTCCTGAATTTTTTTTCCGGGAAATTATCTTCTGCTGTCAGCTATCTTCACCGTAGGTTGAAGTGTTTTTTGGCTTACTACTGTATTTTGTAAAATTAATACACCTTGTTGTATATTTTCCTTGGTTTTCCTTTTTCTTTTCGCTTTAAAGCTTTATTCGGTTTAAATGGTTTTGAACTTGATTTGAACCCATTGTGAAAAGCAAGTAATGCAAGTTGGCTATTTCTTTGTTTTACTAGGTCTGCCAAGAAAGCCAAATCGACATCGACTCAAACAAGTGTTAAAAAGACGCCCAGAACTGAACAGGACTACATACCTGGGCCATCCTCAAAAGTAGATGAAGATGACACAGATTCGGATGAAGAGCTGTACGGATTCGACCGAGGACTGGAACCAGAGCAGATTCTGGGAGCTACTGATGACGGGGGTAGACTAAAATTCCTCATCAAGTGGAAAGATTTCAGGAAAAGAGACATTGTCTTGGCCGAGGAAGCTAATGTGAGATGCCCTCAGCTAGTTATTGAGTACTACGAAAGACGATTGACCTGGAAGTCTCGCAGAACTTGATATGAATTTATCAGTTTCAATTAAACAATAGTGACATACGTGAGAAAAATAGAATAGATCACTTTAAATGTAACTGTTCCGTGGAGATGATTGTTTAAAGATTATAGGTGAGTTACGTGGCAGGATCCAAAGTCTTAGTCGGGTTGAATTAGAACACAGACTTCACCAGACTTAATTTTCTTCTTAGAATGCGATGATTTGTTGCGTTGTAGAAGCTATCCATGCTCTTATCATTGGGAGTTCCCATGAGGTGCAATTAGATTGGCAATGATATTAACTTTTTCGCTGCTCGAAAAATTAAATTTTCATTTAGTGCAAGTTAAAAAATTCTGTATATAGATGTTATTTTTTTATCTCATGCGAAATTGAAGTCTCAAGCTGTAGATTTTTGTCTCTTGTTCAATTGTTAGTTGATAAATTGTTAGTTGATTTTTGTTCTTTTTTGTCAAAGTTATTTATGATTTGTTTCATTTTATTTATGATTAGTTTGAGCGGTCCTAGGAATGATGACATCTTCTTTTGGAGGTAAATGGTACCGAAAAAAGGTTTTGACTAAACTAGATTCAACTTAATCAGTGTCTAATGTGTTGGGTGATAAAAGGCGGTAGTTTCTTGAGTGTCTTGTTATTTCCTGGTTTCAGATAACCATGTCCGTTTGGCAGCATTAACTAGTCGTATTGCAATCACTCTAAGTGCAATTTCTAACTAAAGGGAAGAAGTCAACGATTGTACGGAGGAATGATGGATGAAGAGTAAGTTAAGATTTATAATTTGTCGTTAAATTTAGTATTTATTAAATCAAATCATACAAAAATTCACAATGAATGGATTTTTTCAAGTTAAGAATCCCAAAGTGATTTGGCTTGGCTATTATTTTTCGGTTTCGATATTTGGAAGCTTGTTTATTTAATCAGAAAATGAATAAAAGCTGTTGAGTTTTTTTTGGTTTGCAAACAGCCCAAAAATGGACATAAAATAAAACCTGAGACAATTTTCGGGCAACGACGACAAGAGCACTTTCAGAATGCAGATAGAAGAAATGCAATGACAGAAGAATATAATGACAATTATTTTCTGCTGTTAGGTGATGTCAAGCGCTGAACTGTGAAGTTGATTTGAACCGAGTTTGAAGCATAGTATCGACTGACTGACAATGTCTGAGCCACAGTTTAAGTAGGAATGGCTAATAGAAATGTTCTTTCACTATTCAATTCTTTTCATTCTGTCTCTCACTGAAACTTTTTCATATGAAATCTTTTTCATATGTAATCTTTTTCAGATTTTTAATACTTGGATGGAAATTATTGTCACGACTTTCGAAGAAAATGACAGTAGTTATGCTCGGTTTTTTCTCTGGACAAAATTTGACTTTTTACTAGCTTTTGTTGACAGAAGTTATAAATACAAGTTGAAAGATACTGATACCTTGAACTCAAAATTAAAAAGATGTTTCACCTGGGACCACTTTTTAAGAGTCAAGGAACGTAGTTTTTTTTCGTTTTTGTTCAGTTTTAAAATGGCCTTTTTAGCGGTTTGATTTTTGATTTTGTTCAAGCTCAGTTCATTTCCTTGGTTGAAAGGAAGGCAAACTTCACTATCGAACAGCAAAAGTGTTAAGACCAAGAAAACTGTAATCGAAATCTAATTTCGGAAGTGAAATTCAATTATTGAATTTCCCAGCTAAATGAAAGTTTAACCTTTTGATCCAGTTTTCTCAAATTGCGTTAATTTTATCAAAACTGTGTCAATGATAAATTTTTCTGGAAATTCAAAGAGCTTAAATAGCATCATTTTTTTCTTTTAAATTTGAAAATTCAGCATTTTTGTTTATCTGCGTTCATTGACTCTTCTCCAATTCTGTTGGCTATATTTCGTACTTCTTTGACAACTGTAGGCTAATTAAAGCCTTTAAATTTATCATTACTGCGTTGCAAATGTGATGATTTGAGCCAGTTCAGAAATTGTTCTAAAAGTAGTTGAGAAAATCTGCTTACTTCAAAAAATATTCGGTCACTTTTTACTCGACAGTCTGAATTACAATGTCACTTGTGCTGTATCACTTTGTGCTGTACCTTATTTGGCGGGCAGGTTTGAAAAAACGACCAATTTTTTAATCAGTATTTCTAAATTTACTTCAACATTTCTTTACTTCATTGTGCATCGTGACTGGTTTTCCACTAAGCCATGATAATCAATGGAATAAGCCAAAAACTGAGTACATGTACTAGCTGTAGGAGTAAAGTACGGTTGGAACAAGATTTATCAAGCTCTATCTCAATTTCCAAGGTTTGAGAAACTTTCAGCAGGTGGCCAGTAGTCAATAAGCAGAATGGTCTAAGAGCAGAATGGGTCCAAGAGCAGAAAAACAGAAAAATATCAACTTTTATGAGGTAATCGGTAAATTAATTATCAGAAATGTCAATAATACCAATGCAACGAACATTTTATGCATAATTTGAGTAATTTAATCAACAATATAAAAAAATTAATCTAAAAACTTAAAGAAATTAGACAATTCATGCTAAATTTTTTCGTTTTCTTGTTTTTTTTTGACGATTCCAATTATTGTTTTATCAATTAGTCCGTGTAAACCAATATAAGTCAATATTTTTCTAATTTTCTGCTCTTGGACCCATTCTGCACTTGGACCATTCCGCTTATTGCTCGGCCTCCCTTTCAGCAGCATTGATATACAAGGAGTCTTAATTCAAATAATCAAACAAATGTATTCAATCTAAGCATCTAATAGAAATCAACCGCAAAACAAACATAGAAGTCACTTCAGGGACGGATCTAGGATTTTCTCGAGGGGGGCGGATTTTCAAAAAATTTTCGAAAATTTTGACCTTTTTTCGAAAATTTTGACGACCTTTTCTCAGCCTAAAGCACTAAAAATCGCTTTTTTTGGCGCGCGCTCTCCCTCAAAGTTAGTAAATATAAGCGCCAAAGGCGCCTTTAGAAAAATTATAGGTTCGGTCGGCGAAAAATGGATTTCTTAAAAAGTACCAAAGGGAGGCCCCCTTCCTAAATCCGGACCTGAGTCACTTAACTCTTTTTAAGAAAATGGGCAAAAATCAACAAACTCATAGCGCTCCTCGTGTTCTTATGTACATACATGTAAAAATTAACGTCTTGTGATTCTTATCCTAGGAGTTCCATGACCTACAAACATGGCTTTTTTTTGTAAACAATTCGATTGCATGGGGACTGACCTTTTATCAGAAAATGTTATCTATTGACTTTTTACCAGACTCGATAAACAAATTTGATTAACAGATTTATTGACGCCGTTTAGTCTGGTTAAAGACAAAGTTGTCACGGTTTCTCAGCGAAGTTTTGTTTGTTCTAACCGCTTCCTTTTCGAATCGTCCAGTAATTTAAAGTTATCTTAATTGAATTATTGCATTGTGGTCTGGTGAATGGTCGGTCTGGTAAAAGACCTAGCCCCAGATGGCATACATTTTACATCATAAATTTTAATGCATTTATGAATGCACTTAGGTATATATGTTGGATCAATTGAGCAATCTCTCCCCCCCCCCCGTAATGACCAATTGAGCTATCTTCTCCCAAGGCAAAAACAGTATAACGCTACAAAAAGACGCCAGCAAACACCAGTAGATGGTTAATGTGTTCGTAGCATGCTATCAATTGACGGATTGTAGTTTATTTTATATGAGTATCGAGAAAAAAATTTTTAAAAGAAAAAATCGAATTTTTTTTGCAAATTTTTGATTGGGCGACCATTGCCTCAACGAGCAAAGCGACTTACCAGGGTTGGTGCTCTAGCCTTGTATCTGAATATCAAAAACTGTTCTCCGCAACACCTTAAAATTTCTTTTTTCCATTTAGGACAGAAAAAAGGCGCTTTATGCGACTAAAGTCGTCTCAGTTTCATTGACCCTTTTTACACTCTGAATTTAACTTTTGAGCTTTGATATTGTAAATTTTGGCTTTCCACTATCTTTGAAGAATCTGATTTGTGATTTCATATATTTCAAACAATTTTGAAGTGGTTATGGGCGAGAATGGGGGGGGGGATTGCTCAATTGATCCTATATGTTTGTTTCTTGAGTTCAATGCAAGTTGATTTGCTAAAAAGCAGGCAAATTGCACTCTCCAATTACGAAAGTGCACATGACGCAAAAAACGTGATCGGTTTCTAGTTTCGAACGTGGGTTTTAAAATTTCCCAGCTGAATAAAAAATTTAACCATTCAACCAGATTTCTTAATGTTTTTTTTTGAGAAAAAAGGGCAGCCATGAGATTCAAAGAGCTTTAACATGATATATTTCTTTCTTCTAGACTCAAAAGTTAAATTTTCCAATCATTTTTTTTTTTCGTTTTCCTTGTTGGTTGTTTGCTTGCTGGTTCCCAGCAACCAATTTTCTGGTTGTTTGTTTTATGTTCGTGTAGCTACGATGACCCATATCTGCGTGAGTCATACAAGCACTACACTCAGGAGTTGCTGCATGACCAGAGTATGAGTAGCCAGCTGACCAACAAGTACTGGACTGCGAAGTCGTTCGTGAAAAAGCTGAAGAAAAAGGAAGATCAGAGTGTAGTGGCAGCAGACTCTGATCTTGACGCCAAACTGGAGGTAAGAGAGACTGTCGACAATGCTTAAGGTTGATTTGAATAGTTTCAAGGCATAAGATGTAGCTAGTTGAGAAGTACGGAAATGTGTTTTTAATGATTTTTGTGTGCTATAAAAGCAAGCTATCGGGAAAACTTAGCTCGAAAACTGAGTGACTTATGTCGTTTAGTTTGAAATAAAATGCTTTCTTATTTTCAGTTCTTCCGATCAGTTCAAGAAACCACCCAGAAGCTGGTGTTCTGCATAGAAAGATATCAAGATGCAATCATGGGTGAGTATTATTGAACGTTCACAAGTTCCAGGCTCCTCCTGACTTGTTTGAGCTAACGCGGTTTTTTTCAGTATTTTTTCCGCGACAAAAAAGTATTTTTTCGTTTGTCTGTGTGTGTTTGGCTCTTAGTTTCCAAAGCATGGGTTTTTTCTGATTTGTCAGCTCTCCTCTTGTTGTATCCCATTTTACCTTCTCGGATTTTGAATAATTACCCTGAGTAATAATAATTACCCTGATGAGCAAGGGTGTTGCAACCGGGCACTATATTTTTCCCCGCAAACAATTTTGTTCACGAAATTCGGCCGTGAAATTGTTACACGTGTTTTACTTTAGAGGTAAATGTAGGAAGGAGGGAGACATAATAGGTATATTCCGATAATGTATTTTTGGCGCTTTAGTGTCGGCTTTAAATCCGTTGACTTGTTTTCCGAATGATTTTTTTTCAATTAATTTTTGTTGGCTTTGCATATGAGTGATTGAAGTCTTATGCGAAATTTTGGAAAGTCGAAATCACTCTAAGTCAGAACCTCCTAAGTAAAAGTCTAAAATTTAAACAAGGAGACTGTCTTTTCTGATTTTTTGAAAAACTTTAATTTTTTTTTCAATTTGCTCATTAACTTTGGGTTAAACCTTTGATGCTTTGATCGTTCAATCAGCTGTATTATTATGCTAGCGAGCAGCTAGTGTTTTAGTACGAACCTTTTTTTCTAACTTAACTAAAAAAAGTGTTCTTTTCTGTGCCTTTTTGCTATAATCACGATCTGTAGCATTGGAAATTTATAGCATCTGTTCTCGGCTTTACTGGTGGCTAGTGTTTGTCCTAGACGTCGTTGAATTTTTACTATATCGACGCTTTCTTCTCTTTTTGCATCTTTCAGAACTCTAAAGCTTCTTTTTGTCGTGTTCTCGCTGGTGTTTGCCAAGCGCAGCTCCACCTCTGTGTCATATCTTTTCTGGTGCTGGCAATTGAGTTTTTTTTTTATTTTTCGCGCATTTTGAATTTTTTTCAAGGTTTTCGACAACAATTGATTTTTTAAAAAAAATATGTTGCTAATGTTATTTAGCCAATATAAGTTTAACTATTTCAATTGAGACGAGAACCAAGCAAGCTTGAAGTGCCAGCATATCAGAAATTATTAGATTCAAGTTTTTTCGACAATATTACTCAAAATTGCTAGCCGAGTTAATCGTTTTACAATGTCAACTAGATTGCTGGCTTCTAGCTTGCCCAATAAGTTTGTTTTGTTCCTCCAACTTTGCGTAATTTCAATGTGACAGGACAGTGGAAAAGGTTACCAAGCATAACTGAAGTGCTATCAAAATGAAATTTAATCAATGCAAATTTTTCGTTAATTCTGTTCCGAATTGCTAGTTGAATTTATCATGTTGCAGTTTCATTGTGACTGGATGTCTGCTAATTTTCGTAATGAGCGTGTTGAGTTCTTATAAATTTGAGTAGTTTCAATGAGTTAAAACAGAAATGAAGTATATATTTTTTTCTGTTCGGTTGCTATTTTCAAAAATTATAAAAATTTTTCTCTCGTCTAGATAATTTTAATCTGTTTTCGGGCTCCATGTTGTAAAGAATAGTTCAATGGCATGTCTTTTATAAAATTTGTTCTCTTTTTCTGGATGAGTTGTTGTTCAACTGTTTATCTATAAACCTGTTTTTGTCTGATTGGAATTTATTTTCTTGGGAACGAAAATTGGCTTTTGTTTTCATTTTTATAACTGTTGGAAACCATTCTTCGTAGCTAGTGTCTTTGTTGTTTTTTCTGCATAGCTGGCATTTTAATGCATAGCTGGCAGGTTTAAAACGTCAATTGGAGTTTAGACTGGCTTGAGTTAGACTGGTTTTGTTTCGTTGCTAGTTTTATATTCTAATGGTAGGCATGTTTGCTTAGAATGAACTTCTATCGAGACGTAGGAATATATAAATTTTGGTCGATCTAGCTTTTCATATTTGTTCGACTTCTATATTTTTGTGTATGTTGTATCGCAAGATAAGGCAAAGCTCCGCTTCGCCCTTGTGTTTATATTTTACTTTCGAGTAAAATGCTTTAGGCTCATTTTTTGTTAATTTAATTATTCAGGTCGGTTTTGGTGCATTTTCTGTGCATTTTTTCAACGAAATGATGTTCAAGTATATTGGTCTTGATGATTTTTTTGGTTGTAAGCTCATTAAGTGCTGGTGGCTGTGTTTATCGACTGTTTTTTGAAATTGAATTTTTAATTTTGCTAAAATGTTCCATTTTTTTTTTTACACTTGCGGTAGCAAGTGTCTTGTAATCGGGAACTATACTTTTTCCCGTAAATTTTTTTTCATATAAACCTGTGAGGAATTGTGAAGTGGCATAATGCGCGAACCTTAGCATTTTCATTACTCTTTCCCACGTGGTCTATAGGTAACGCGGTTGCCATTGTACCCGAAGGTCTGGTGTTCGAGTCCTGGCCGAACCGGACGTTTTTCAGAATGTGTGAAATTTAAACTTTTTTGTGGAAAAACTGAATTGTCGGACTATCTGTGCCTGATTAAGATGTGTCGGCTTAGTTGCCGGCTCGCTGGCTGCTCGCTAAATACAAAAAATTTATTTAATACTGGTGGTTGTTTTCAACTTTTTTCTGATTTTTTAAAATTTACAAGCAAAGCTAGTAAGGTTGGAAAAAAGATTGTTGCGACAAAATGTGTTCATTTTGAAATTGTTTATTTTGACCACTAACCAGCTATTAAGTACAGCAAATGCTAAGGGTATTAACCACAGACTATTATATTACAAATAGCACTTAAGCTTCAAGGTATCATGGATCTGTAGTGTAGAATGTTCGAACCTGGACAGGGTCGGATGTTTTTAATGAATTTTTTCGTATACTTGCTAAAATGCGTCCGATCTATAAACTGAGGCATATTACTAAGTAATTTTTGTTTTCAAACTGACTGGTACTGCTAATGCGTCAAAGTTGGCTTGCGTCACTTATCAATTATGTAGACTCATAATTGGCGTGCGTCACTTAAGAAATTTTGTAGTCTCAAAATTTTACTCATTCAGTTTTTCCCAGTAGCGTTATCGGTCATATGTTTGCTTGTGTATGCGAAGTGCAACTTCGCCTCTGTGTCGATTTAATCATATTTGATAGCTTGAGTTGTATTGCCTGCTCCGCGCATCGCCTGTGTCTAATATATTTTTTTTAGACTTAATTGTTTCCGTCTCATTTTGTTTTCGCTAGTTTCTAAAGCTTCGATTGCGTTGTATCACAAGTGATGCGAAGCTCCGCTTTGCTTGTCTCAAATAGAATTATTAAAACGACTTGTTTTGGAAATGGTTTTTTTTCCGGGGTATTTTTAGCCAATGAAACTGGTATATTTCAGCACTGTCACAAGAAGAAAACAAACTGGGGCGATTTCTGAAAGAGCAGTCGCAAGTAGACAAGAGTCCCGCTGGCAAGATGATGAGCGCGATAGGAAAACAACTTAGCCAGACCAGCCAGCAGAGACTGTCTTGTAGAGTTCCTCTGGTCAGACTTTATGGAGATCTGGACACCTTCAGGTTAGCTGCTTTTTTTGTTGGTGATAAGATTTAGCGAATGACTCATGTCGATATTATTCATTGATCAACGAGAAAAAGACTTATTAACGAATAATATCGATCTTTTTGTACGTGAACATGATTGAAATCGTTGATCACCCTACGTTTTTCTTTTTAATGATTTCAAATGCAATTGCCTAGTCTTTTGCTTAGTCATCTTCTTGCCATTTTCTGGTCATCAGTTGTCCTGTTGTTTTCGCTCTATTTGTTCATGTTCTAGGGTTTCCAATGGTTTAACGAGTTGATATTTTCATTTGATTACAGGAACCGTGCAATCTCAGATACGAATTTGAACGTGCAAAAAATGGAGGCCCTGAGACTAGAGTACAGGGGGACGCTTATGAGAATGAAAGATGTCTCGGAGGAATTGAACCCAGACGCATACAGACAATTAGAGAGATTTCGCAAGGTAAAGTTCTAGCACAATTTCTCAACTTTTTACATAACTACCAAATACCTCAGTAATTCAGTGGAATTGAAATTGTTTTGATTGTTTTCTTTCGGCGCAGGTGCAAGCACAAGTAAAAATCAATCGAGACAAATTCGAGCGTCACAAATATGCAGTGTGTCAAAAGATAGACCTTCTTGGAGCTAGTAGGTGCAATCTGCTCTCTCATGACTTGGAGGTGTACCATCAGAACATGCTAGCCTTTTGGCAGAGGACAGCCAAGGAAATGAGTGAAATTTGCGAGCAGTTTAAAGGACATCAACACTACGAGTGGAGCATGCTCAAGGTACTTTTTGAAGCTGTTTATTACAATGAAAATAACTTAAAACTAATTAAATGAAATTTTCTACTTCCAAAGCTGCGTTTTGCAACTTAATTTCCGCTAAAGAGTTCCGGAACTGCTTTTTCTTTGAAATCAACAGTTTCGAACTATGACATCCCTTCATGATGTCATTCATATTAATTCACCATTTGAACCTAATAAATTACATAATTCACCTTGATGTTAAAATAGAGCTGCGTCATATTTACTTAACTATGTAAACAATGATGGTAATTAATACCAATCATTGGAATCTTATACCGAGCCAGAAATCAATTGAGAAATCAAATCAATAAATTATTCCAATCATGCTCTTACTTGCGCCGATCGACTAAGCGAAATCTCAGAAGCTAAGAAGCGAAGCCTGCATCCTTCACAGTAAGATAGGTTTTAACCGCTCGAGACAGATCTTAATAAAAAAAAACATGAATTCAATAACAATAGCAATCGATAGCCAGTAGCGATAATTATTACTGCCAATTGAACAGCTCGGATTATATTAAGTGAGAATATACCCGTATTATCCATCCGCCAGATATGGTATATTATATGGTGACAATCGCGGAAATTCTACTTATGGATTCAAAACAGTCATCGGCAATCCAAGACTACACCCTTCGAGCAGACATTGACAACGAATTTTGGTAAAGCAGAACAGCTCAACTCAGCCTGATCCACACAGCAACGCTCAGATGTGGGTAGCAGAATAACTTTCAGTGAACAATTGAAACAGGGAGGAAAAGAAGACAAACACAACTTTTCAACATCTTTGGTCCGACAGTGTCTTCAATCTACAGACGCAGATGTGGATTGTGACCTACAACATCTCTACTTCTATTTCCAGTCAGATGATTTTTCAAGTGAGCTACTGACAAGGCAGAAAAGGAAGTAGACGATAGGTTTTCAACATCAAAACAGTTAGTTAAAACAATTACCCAAAACTCTCATTTGCAGTAGATTGATATTGAAACTAATAAGTTCCCCTACCACAAAAGTGAAGTAACGGAAATATTAGCAAACCCTGACTATTTTCTTGTGCCCCATTAAATCGACTAAGTGCTGTGCTTTATCATCAATTGTATCAAAAACTGATACTCATTTAACCGTAATTAGATGGCACATGCGCAAATTTCGGTCGAACCTTATGGAGGAACGGACAAAGAATACTTTCAGCAGTTTGAATAATTGTTCCGAGGATACATCGGAGTAGCCGCAATCGATCCTGGCCAGCAAACGAGATTCTTGGAATTACACCTACGGGAAGCGGCCCTACGATTCTACCAGACACTACCAGCAGCAACCAGAGAGAACGTAGAAAACAGTCTCACAGCCCTAAGGGATCACTATTGCATTCCGCAGCTTCAAGAATTTCACGTCCTAAAGTTAAAACAGCTACGTTTCGATTCGAAAACAGATTCACCCCTGAACTTTCTGGTGAACCTGACAAAAAACGCTCAATGAGCATACCCGACCCCAGATCTGCCAGCTGTCATTCCAACAGATGGTACATCAAATGGAGCAGCACTTGTCGCAGACACAGTACGATTTCATCGGGGAAACTGCCCAACGACAAGAACGGATTGATGCTGTAAACGACAATTGGAATTAGCAACTGAAACTATTGTTCATCAAAGGAATGCCAGGCTGGCTGCGATCGAAACTAATGGAACAACCACCAGCTACCACAGTCCAAGAATTGTGTAACATGACAAAAAATCAAATCATGATTCGAGAGGTTTGCCGAAAAGAAGATTACCCGGAAGACGGATTCAACGAAAAAAAGACCAAGTCTCAGAAAAATAAATAAGCGCTATCACAACATTGTCCACAAATCAGGAACAAATTGAGAAGCAGCTCAATGAAATGCGATCACAAATTAATGAGCAGTCGAAGAAACAGTCGAACCCGCCTCCGCAAAAAAAAACCAGAACATCAGCAACCAGAATATCAACAGAATCAAAGTAACTGGTATAAACAGCAACGAGGTAGCCGAGGACGAAAGCGCAGAAGTAGTTGGAAAGTGCAGAAGTAGTTGGAAAGCGCAGAAGACATAGATTCAATGTGGGATACAATTCCGACCTCAAAATCAAACTCAAACCGGAACACTCAAGAACTTTGTACACAGAAGGACCTTCTACGCCGATAAATTTGCGACACGAATTGACAGTGGAACTTGCCCTCATGCATTATCATGGACTTATAACAACATTATCATATTCCAAATACAGCAGTCCATTGTTTGCGAATCGAAAGCCATCAGGTAAAATGCGGATGTTGTTTGACCTCAGAAGGATAAACCATTCACTAAAGAATATCAACAGCAACTTTCCGATCTCAAACATGCCGATGCTTCGAAGCACTTCGCAGGAAAGAGTTTGTTTATCAAACTTGATTGCTCACAAGCATACCACTGTGTACAAATGGCAGATGACCTTTCAATCCAACTTATGGTATTTAACTTCGGTTCACGAACTTACGCATACAAATTCCTGGCTCAAGGTCTAAGCAAATCGGTAACAGTTTTCAGTTCGTTCATACGTCACTACCTTGATCCATGCTTAGCAGCGGATTTATGTACAAATTTCATGGATGACATAGGAAGTGCAGTGAATAATTTTGATGAACTAATACCGACCCTTTCGAAAATCTTTGAATGTGTAAGGAAGTCACGACTAAAAATGTCGCCAAATAAATGTGAAATTGGAACTCTACTTCCAAAGCTGCATTTTGCAACTTAATTTCCGCTAAAGATTTCCGGAACTGCTTTTTCTTTGAAATCAACAGTTTCGAACTCTGACATCCCTTCATGATGTCATTCATAATAATTCACCATTTGAACCTAATAAATTACAGAATTCACCTTGATGTTAAAATAGAGCTGCGTCATATTTATTTAACTATGTAAACATTGATGGTAATTAATACCAATCATTGGAATCTTATACCGAGCCAGAAATCAATTGAGAAATCAAATCAATAAATTATTCCAATCATGCTCTTACTTGCGCCGATCGACCAAGCGAAATCTCAGAAGCTAAGAAGCGAAGCCTGCATCCTTCACAGTAAGATAGGTTTTAACCGCTCGAGACAGATCTTAATAAAAAAAAACATGAATTCAATAACAATAGCAATCGATAGCCAGTAGCGATAATTAATACTGCCAATTGAACAGCTCGGATTATACCAAGTGAGAATATACCCGTATTATCCATCCGCCAGATACGGTATATTATATGGCGACAATCGCGACATTTTCGAAATCTAATACCGACCTTTTCGAAAATCTTTGAATGTGTACGGAAGTCACGACTAAAACTGTCGCCAAATAAATGTGAAATTGGAACTCAACGAATGAAATTCCTTGGTAAACTAATAACACCAGCAGGAGTGTCGCCTGAACAAGAGAAAACTTCAACTTTCCTAAAGAAAATCAAAATGACACAAACTGTAAAACAGGTTAAACGACTAATCGGATTTGTGCAATTCTTTCGGAATTATATGCCAAGTTTAGGTGAAAGTTGATACCATTTTACCGTCTCCTCAGGAAAGACATTCCATTTCAAACCGATGATGAACACCATATAAGCCTCGAAGTACTAAAACACGATTTAATCCAAGTAACGAGTATAACATTGCGATTGCCAAAACCAGGATTACAATACGTAATACTATGTGATGCAAGCTATCATGGACCCGGTTTTGTGCTAATGGTTGAAGACTTTGTGAAAACTGAAAACAAACGTGAAAAGAAAACGTATGCACTAGTGTCTTTTGGTTTAAGACTCTTCAACACTGCACAACTGAAGTTCTCTATTTATTACAAAGAATTCTTAGCTTTGTACTTTGCTTTAGATCATTTCTCTCACTTCATCTGGGGATCATCAAAGCCAGTGATCATTCTAACTGATAATAGAAGCCTAACACAATTCTTTCAAGCTTCGGTCTGGAACTTCTTGGATCGTGTCATGGCATTCAACATCATCATCGCGCATATACCTGGAAAAGAAAATTATGCAGCAGATTTTTTGTCTCGAATGCAGACTAACCCATCAGCCTCACTATCACTGAAATTGACAGACAAAATACCAATACGAGAGATACAGATCGACACAACAGCGAAAGTACCCGACGCATCACTAAATCTAGTACAAACAGTGAATGACGCATTCCCTGAAACCCAAACGGAACAAATCGATGAATCATTAAAAACTCATTTGCAAAAACTCGATTTATATGAAACCTGTCTACGTGAGCTAATTGTTCAAGAAGATCAAGACACTCTAATACCGCAGACGTTTGTTCGAATATCAAGACCAATTATAGCAGCAGTCCAATACCCGGATCCTGCAGATGTATTTTATGACCTGAATATGAGTCACGGAGTGCTCGACTTGAAAAACGAGCAAGAAAAAGACCCCGACATAGAGGAAGTGAAGACCTGGAAACGTAATGAACAAATTCGCAATCTCACATACGAAAACAGTATGCCACACAATTCAATCGGCTGATAATAGAAGAAGATATACTTTATCGAAACTTCTACGACGACACTGGACAAGTGAAATACAAGCAATACTGCTTGCCAAAACACCTTTGGATCGAGGTTGTGTATCGACGTCACAACTCTCGAACAGGTGGACATCTGGGAATGACGAGAACCACAGAAGAGTTTCGAGAACGATTCTACCTCCCAGGATTCACCGAATTCCTAACTAACACAATCAAGAACTGTTTAACGTGCTTGCAACTCAAAAGAGCATCTGCGAAATACCAAATAAGCCAATCTTTTCATTACAATGCTTTCCAGGAGACATGATGCAAATTGACATAGTTGGACTACTGAAGTCACCAGTGTATAAATTTGTTCTAACTGGAATCGATGTTTTCTCAAAATACTTGTTTCAGCACCACTGACAAATGCGAGCGCCGATACAGTGTCGAGGGAGCTCACGAAAATTTTCTTCTTGCAGTTACTTACCGAAAAAAATACTCGCAGATCTCGGAAAGACGTTCACGTCTGAACTCATGCACGAATTAGCGACTTTGCTCGAAATTCAAATTAACCATGCGACTCTGAAACATCAGCAGACCATAGCCCTGGTCGAACGATCTCATAGACCACTTAAAAGAATCCTAAAGCCGAACACTAGTGAACAATGATCAGACTGGCACAAAATGTCCCGTTGGCTACCTTCATCCACAATACTTCATACTCTTCATCAATTGGATGCTGCCCAATCTCAATTTTTCATGGAAGAGAACCGACGAAACCACTTGATCTTTGCTTTTCAACAAAAGCAATGGAAGTAGTAACAGCAAGTTACGGCAATGCAAGATGCGATGCTCGAAAAGTTCAAAGAAGCGAAAAAGAATTTGATCTCTTCATACCATAAATATAGAGGATATTACGACCGAAAAGCACTTGCACAGCCACTCAAAGTCCACTCATTTTGTCTCCTGCTAAATCCTCTGTTGACTACGCAGTCAGACTTTGGAAGCAAATCAATGCAAGTCTGGATACCTCTGTACAGAATTGAGAAAGTGTTGACAAATTCGAACTATTTAATTCGGAAAGTTGGAACAACCTACACTCAATGCGTACACCAAATTCGTCTCAGAGCCGTTGACCCATAACATCAACCAGACGATGTCGAACCAATAAATCCAGCGAAGTTTCCATCACTCGGGAAACATCGAATTGAACCAGGACTTTTCGACGATTACTTACCAAGACGCTTAGAGCAGCGGACAAAACAATGACCTGATTTCACCTGCACGAGTCCGATTGTCAGGACCTCTCGGATTACCTTTAGCCGCAGCACCCATACCAGTAGCACCAATTATGGCAACATCACCTGTCCCGGTACCAGCCATACCACCAGTGCCAGATCCACCTCCCGAAGCCGTATATATACCGGAGCTACCACTCGCGGAACTACCAGCAGCACAGCCTATGGGTTACATTAATAAACCGGCAGGAGTTATCAATAGGGACTCTGACCCCGAAGGATACAATCTTGAAGAATTGTTCCAACCCGAGAGCTGCGGACAAAACAATGATCCGATTTCACCTGCACGAGTCCGACTGTCAGTACCTCTCGGATTACCTCTAGCCGCAGCACCCATACCAGTAGCACCAATTATGGCACCACCACCGGTACCAGCCATACCACCAGTGCCAGATCTACCTCCCAAAGCCGTATATATACCGGAGCTACCACTCGCGGAACTACCAGCAGCACAGCCTATGGGTTACATTAATAAACCGGCAGGAGTTATCAATAGGGACTTTGACCCCGAAGGATACAATCTTGAAGAATTGTTCCAAGAACCACAGCCAGTTGTTAGACGAAAAGCAGCAGCTGAAGCTCGAAATAGAATTCACGCACAAATTAGATTCAGTAACGATGTTCGATATCTTTCTATACCTAAGCTTCACAAACAACCTCGAAGGCAAGCCCTACGCACCGTAGACGGACACGAAGTTGCTCCTCTAACATTTAGTCCAAGATCAACTCAGAACGAGAATCGAACAAAAATACAGAAGAAAGTGGAAGAGGTAAATGAATCTTTCCCTCCACCTGAAAAGAAAATGTTTATATTCAAAGACAACGGAAAAACAACTGACTAAACGTAAAGACGGACCTGGCAGCAACCAAGATTCGGTGAATTCAATCTACGATGAACCAAATATCTTTGTCGGACCTGGAAATGTTTTGCAGTTTCCGGGCTCTATAGCTCACTTTGTCTCAAGTGACTTCAAAATGACAAAGGGAGTAGCACGACAAATCAGCAGCGCCTATCCATACATCAGTAAAACCCTACAAAGCCTTGAAACACCAATAGTTGAATCATCAGTTGCAGTTTCTTTGCCTTGGAATAACAAGTCCAATTTTCAATTTAGTTACAAAATCTCATTTTTCGAAAAATTAACCTACTACAATTTGTCACGAAGTCTCAATTGCATGAAGAAGCACCTCCTTCAGAAAGGCATACAACAGATTGCCCTACCAAAGTTTGGATGTGGACTCGATAAATTGAAAGAAAGTAGAGTTTTCAGTCTTATCAGCGATGTTTTCGAAAAAACGGACATCAAAATCTTCCTTTATGTTTAACGACAAAATCTTAGATCGCTAAATATTGTTCCAACATGCATGGTTATCCTTACTAGCGCTAAATTCAGAGAATTGATGCCATCGAAGTCAAGAAACAACGACTTTGAAACGAAGAAAAGTAGATATTTCGAGACTCGGTTTTTTTAACCTCGAAATTTCCCGAAAAACTGACACCATAGTCACTACGCACGAACAAAAACGGTTTCGAACCCTTAAATCATATCTCAACGCCTATCTGGACAAATGTACGAAGTGGGTCTACTAGCAGACTACAACTTCACGAGATCTCGAAAAATCCACCTGTTGCCCATGTTTAAGCATTACGAAAAAAATTTTTTTTTGCTCCCCTAAATAACGAGTGGGAGGAAAACTGAAATTTTTGTGCTCAGTGATCTTCAAACCACTAATGAGCAACCTGCAAGAAATGAGTTCACTAGCAAACCACTTTTTGGAGATATAAATCAAATTCAAATCATGTATTAAGATAGGAGAAACAAGAAAAACACATTTCGAGTGATAAATTTTCAGAATTGCGAACAGAAAACTCCCAAATGAGCCCGAAAACATCCAATGGAATAGTTAAGACAACCTTGAAAGGCTTTCAGAGATACTCAACAACTTCTCCGAAACAGTGAAAGCACAATAAGCCCCAGGAAAAAAATTGATGAAAAATCCGAATTTATCATCAATAAATCATCTTGACGCCAAATTTTGCTCAGGCGAGCCAGCAATTACCTGGAAACGCTTGTAAGAGTGAAGTGCAACGTCTATAGAAGAAATGAAAACGCAAAACAAAAGCCAGATACTGCACAAAAAGACGGTGATTGCGACAAAATGCAAAAACTTCGTTGAAAAAGTTTTACAAAAAAAAGGAAGGCTATCGTCACCTTTCAGGGCGTCAGGCCACCAGAGGAGGAAGAAGGAGGCGTCAGGCCACCAAAACACCCAAAGGACGAAAATGAGAACACTTCTCAACTATCAGATGATATCTGAAAACAACAGTACAACTAATAAATTCGTACAAATTGCTTTACTAGCTGTCAATTTCGAAAATAAAATCGTGAATTTTTCGACAAAACAGAGCACTGTTCAGTTGTTGGAACCCAGTTCAATATTAATGAGGCAACGAAAAGAATCAAACCGCCTCATCCTCAAATAAACAAGAAAAATTCAGCATCCTTGGAGCAAAAGCAATGACATCCAACCGACAACGAACGAAGACAGCGATACGAGAGAGACTACCTGAACGAACAACGAGCAATACTAGCCAACTGCTCCACGCGACAATACTTGCCGTGCCAAATTCTACAGTTGACAACTAAATACATCATGATATCATTAATCTGACCTTATTCATCTATCACTTTAACTTCCAAACCCCGACTCAGGGTGGCCTTTAAAAATTATTCCCCTTTAAAGTTAATTTTTATGTTACCTCTCATTGTGTACCTTGAATTAACACCATGTGCTTCTTAATAATTGAAAGTATTTAAATTGTTGTGATAGAACCTCAGATATATTCATAGATGTCCTTGAATAAAGTTAATAAAGTGGTTGTACAAATTTTATGTGAATTATTTTAATTGTATTTAACCAAAAAACTCAACTACCCGGGAAGACTTCTTCTTGTGAGTTTGTCTGACATCCCTTCATGATATCATTCATACTAATTCACCATTTGAACCTGATAAATTACATATTTCACCTTGATGTTAAAATAGAGCTGCGTCATATTTATTTAAGTATGTAAACATTGATGGTAATTAATACCAATCATTGGAATCTTATACCGAGCCAGAAATCAATTGAAGAGAAATCAAATCAATAACTTATTCCAATCATGCTCTTACATGCGCCGATCGACTAAGCGAAATCTCAGAAGCTAAGAAGCGAAGCCTGCATCCTTCACACTAAGATAGGTCTTAACTGCTCGAGACAGATCTTAATAAAAAACATGAATTCAATAACAATAGCAATTGATAGCCAGTAGCGATAATTAATACTGCCAATTGAACAGCTCGGATTATACTAAGTGAGAATATACCCGTATTATCCGTCCGCCAGATACGGTATATTATACTAACGACTTCAGTTTAAGCGAATATTCTCTGATACTTCAAAATTCGAAGTAATATTTAGATGAGTGAATTGAAGCCTCTTTCAAAAATATATTGTGTATGGGATAAAATCAGTCACCAATGTTTGCACAATTGCAAGGAGAAAGTGATTCAACCTGTCTGATTTGTTTAGGAGTTAAATGAGCCAGCCCTGAAATTGCATGAGCAACTGGAACAGAACATGAAAGTGGCAAACAAATCAGACGAAAGTCAAAGCGATAAAACTGCACATAGAGACGACACCAAACAATCAGAAGACGACAAGTTAGAGTTTTTGTCTTGGCTTAAGCGAGAATTTTTAAAGGCATTGAACGAAGTGCATTTGAAAGTAGTACGGTCAATTTTTTTTTGGTTCCTCGAAATTAAAGTTTGATCTGATTATGGCGAGATCTCTTGTTAAGAGTAATGAACGTAGTGAGGAATCTTATATAGGTCTTGCTGTTTTTCTTTGTTTTTTTTCAGGAAAAAGTCTTAAAATTTCACTGAACCCATCAGTACGTCAATCCAAGCAAAAAAAAAGATAAATGTAGGTAGATCAAACGTTTTTAGGTTTGCTACAAAACAAATTAGACGAATCAAACTTTTCGTGAGCGTAAACAATTCGATTCTCTAGACTGGCAAGAACGCAAGGCTCTTTTTTGTTAAAAACGTTGTGCACAGTACTCTTAGGACTCATAGGACTCACATATTTCTTAGTATTTCATAGGACTCACAGCAGAACAGACTTGTTGAGAGTAATGAACGTAGTAAGTACTCGTATATAGGTCTTTATGATTTTTTCCTGTTTTTTTTTCACGCTCAAATTTAATTTTTCGCGGTTTCACTTGTCATTTATTTTTAAGTTCAGTGCATTTCCATTGTTAAAAGGAGAGCAAAATCCGCTATCGAACAGCAAAAATGTAAAGGTCACAAAAATCCTGATCGACTTCTAATTTCGAAATTGAAAATTAGTTAAGAGAATTCCCAGCAAAACAAAAGGTTAACCTATTGATCCAGTTTCCTCAATTTGATTTAATTTTAAGAAAAAAGTGTACATCATAAATTGTTCTACAAATTCAAACAGCGTTAAGGCTACCATTTTTTTTTTTCGGTTTCCTTGCGTTCATTACCCTTTTCCAACTGTCAGTTAGCTATGCTCTATATTGCATTTTAAGTTTCGTTCTATTCCTAGAACCCTCAAACCTAGAATTTATATATTTTCACCCAAAATTAGTTTTTTGATTTACCAGCTAATAATCCAGTTTTTTTTTTCAAATTGGGTTAATTTTATCATCAAAGCTGTGCCAATAATAAATTGTTCTTGAAAATCGAAGAGCTTTAAGGTCATTTTTTGCTGGAAATTCGAAATTTGACATTTATTCAAATTGAGTTATTTTTTAGTCTATTGACTTTATTGACTCTTTAGTCTATTTAGTCTTATTCTTCGTTTATTGACTCTTTTTCAACTGTCTTTCAACTGACTCTTTTTTCAAGTTTTTGGATTTTTTTATTGTGGCTTTTTCGCTTCATGTTGTCGCATGACTGGCAAAAATGCCTTTTCCTGTCAGTAGATTTTCGGTGTAAAATAATTTTTGATGTAAATTTTCATATAGATCTAATTTTCGGTTCAACGAGTGTCTACCTTAGTATTGTCGGTTTAAACACTATTTTATAGAGTTACTCTACTAAATTAATCATCAGATACCCCAGTGAAATAGAATTTTGATTATTGATCGAGTTTTCTCAAATTGGGTTAACTGTAACTAAAAGTGTCCATCATTATTTGTTCTACAAATCAAAGAGCTTCTTTTTTTTCTTCGAATTTCAAAAGTTGAAGAATTCTGAAAAAAAAAACAAGTCAGTTTTGTCTGAGTTTCATTGCGTTCAGTACTCTTTTTCAACTCATTTGGTTATGTTCATTTAGTTTGGCCGAGAGGTAACGACTGGGTCTTGAATGAGAAAGGTACTACGTCGAGTATGGCCTGGACCATGTTTTTAAAACTTTATTTGTGGCTAGTGTTTGTGATTACACTTTCGATCAGCCTAGTGTGTTATTCTGAACTTTTTTTTCTATCCTAACTCGCAACTAAAAGTATTGTCACTCGACCTAGCGTGTTATTACGAACCTTCTTCTTTTCTAACCTAGCTCGCAACTAAAATCTTCATTAAAAGTATTAATTTATTTGGAAATTTCACTGTAGCATTGACAATTGTATAGAATCTGTTCTCTGCTTTATTTATGGCCAGTGTTTGTGATTACACTTGCGATCAGCCTAGTGTGTTATTCTTAACTTCTTTTTTCTGACCTAACTCGCAACAAACGTATTCACGATCAGCCTAGTGTGTTACTACGAACTAACTCGCTTATAAAAGTGTTCATTGAAAGTCTTCACTTATTTGGAAATTTACTGTAGCATTGGAAATTGCATAGCATCTGTTCTCTGCTTTATTTGTGGCTAGAGTTTAGTGCATACTTAGCTTCGGTGGTCGAATGGTTAGTGTTTGAGACTCATAATCGCTAGGTCGTAGTTTCGAATCTCATAGGTTGCCGAATTTTTACTAATTTGAGGTTTATTTCGAATTTTTATTTTTGCTCTTTATAGAACTGCTTTTTGTCATTTTCACGCTAGTGTTTGCAAAGTGAAGATTCGCTTCTGTGTAGTGCTGGCAATTAGCGTTATTAAATTAGAACATAGACTTCTTCGATTTATTAGTTTTTTGTAACAAAGTCACTTGATTCTTTTGGTCAATTTGTTCATTCTAAGAAAAATGCCTGTGTTGAATTAGCATCGAAACAAAAAATACGTAGCGTAAACGAGCCGACATTACTTGAGCGGACACCCGGTTGGCTAATGGACATAAGGTCGCACGGTCGGCTTATTGACCTACTTTTGGGCCGTTTCAAGGAAGACACCATATTTATGCTTTTCTCCGGATCGCTCAAAATGCTAAAAGTCAATAGAATTTGTAGTTTAAAGTTTTTCATGACAGCAACTTTTTGCAACTTCTTTCGGTTCTACTGGAATTTATCCAAGTTTTGTCTTGTCGGCTCAGTTGCCGCTCAAAATTTTTTTGTGAATTTTCTGTTATAGCTGTCGATTGTGTTTCTGGCCGTGTTTTTCGCTGGCCGTGAAAAAAAACATCATCTCAGACATTTAAGTCCATCATTCCCGACAAGTTTTCTTAGTTATGGCTTCTAAAATTTTTTCATTTGTTTTTTTTTCGAACTTTTTGGCTTGTTTCCTCTCTATTAGCTTGCATTTATATTTTTATGTGGTAGCAGAAGTGGTGCGAGGCTCAGCATTGCCTCTGTGTTTCTTTTCTTTCAATTTTATTTTGCTTGGGTAGAAAAATGTTTGGCCTATAATGTATCGGCTCAATCTACTCATTTTGGGTCATTTGGTGGCACAAAAGTGTCCTTTGCGCTCGCGTGTGTGTTTGGGGGGCTTACAATTTTGAGTTCAAAATTATTGATAGCTCAAAAAATTGTATAATGACTATATTTTTTTCGGCTCCGGATGTCCGCTCAAGTAATGTCGGCTCGTTTACCGCTACGTAGTTTTTATTTCGATGCTAATTCAACACTGGCATTTTTCTCAGAATGAAAAAATGAAACTGCAAACGCACAAATTTTTTAAAAGTCGTTAAACGTAGTTCAGACTCTTATATAACTGTGATAAAACTGTGATGGACTTCAAGTTTTGAAAGTGGAGTTATATCAACGAATTTCCCAGCGAAATAAAAGTTTGACCTATTGATGCAGTTTTACTAAATCGGCTTAATTTTTTGTCACTTATGAATTGTTCATTGCCTCTTTGCTATTAAGGTCAATGCTGCGACAAACGATTAATTAGTAAGTTGTGATGACTTAAGGAGATTTGAGTGAGATTTAAGGAGATTTAAGGAGACTCATAATCGCTAGGTCGCAGTTTCGAATCTCATAGGTTGCCGAATTTTTACTAATTTGAGGTTTATTTCTAATTTTTATTTTTGCACTTTATAGAGCTGCTTTTTGTCATTTTCACGCTAGTGTTTGCAAAGTGAAGATTCGCTTCTGTGTAGTGCTGGCAATTAGCGTTATTAAATTAGAACATAGACTTCTTCGATTTATTAGTTTTTTGTAACAAAGTCACTTGATTCTTTTGGTCAATTTGTTCATTCTAAGAAAAATGCGTGTTGAATTAGCATCGAAACAAAAAATACGTAGCGTAAACGAGCCGACATTACTTGAGCGGACACCCGGTTGGCTTATGGACATAAGGTCGCACGGTCGGCTTATTGACCTACTTTTGGGCCGTTTCAAGGAAAACACCATATTTATGCTTTTCTCCGGATCGCTCAAAATGCTAAAAGTCAATAGAATTTGTAGTTTAAGTTTTTCATGACAGCAACTTTTTGCAACTTCTTTCGGTTCTACTGGAATTTATCCAAGTTTTGTCTTGTCGGCTCAGTTGCCGCTCAAAATTTTTTTGTGAATTTTCTGTTATAGCGGTCGATTTTGTTTCTGGCCGTGTTTTTTGCTGGCCGTGAAAAAAAAACATCATCTCAGACATTTAAGTCCATCATTCCAGACAAGTTTTCTTAGTTATTGCTTCTAAAATTTTTTCATTTGTTTTTTTTGGACTTTTTGGCTTGTTTCCTCTCTATTAGCTTGCATTAATATTTTTATGTGGTAGCAGAAGTGGTGCGAGGCTCAGCATTGCCTCTGTGTTTCGTTTCTTTTCTTTCAGTTTTATTTTGATTGGGTAGAAAAATGTTTGGCCTGAAATGTATCGGCTCAATCTACTCATTTTGGGTCATTTGGTGGCACAAAAGTGTCCTTTGCGCTCGCCTGTGTGTTTGGGGGGCTTGCAATTTTGAGTTCAAAATGATTGATAGCTCAAAAAATTGTATAATGACTATTTTTTTTTTCGGCTCCGGATGTCCGCTCAAGTAATGTCGGCTCGTTTACCGCTACGTAGTTTTTATTTCGATGCTAATTCAACACTGGCATTTTTCTCAGAATGAAAAAATGATACTGCAAACGCACAAATTTTTTAAAAGTCGTTAAACGTAGTTCAGACTCTTATATAACTGTGATAAAACTGTGATGGACTTCAAATTTTGAAAGTGGAGTTATATCATCGAATTTCCCAGCGAAATAAAAGTTTTACCTATTGATGCAGTTTTACTAAATCGGCTTAATTTTTTGTCACTTATGAATTGTTCATTGCCTCTTTGCTATTAAGGTCAATGCTGCGACAAACGATTAAATAATAAGTAGTGATGACTTAAGGAGATTTGAG